AGTGTTCACATTATTTGGGGCGATGGGGCAGAGCTCTGCTACTGAACCGTTATACAAGACCCGCCTCCCCTCTCCCTCCATCCAATCAGAGAGCAGACCACCAGTCAGCCGAAAGCAAGAGGGATGTTTAGACATTCGGATGGAGAGAGCCTATAAGGAAAACATTTGAAATTTAATTTATATGTTTTAATGTGGCAGGGACAATGAATCATATGTTGAAATTTAGTTTTGGTTATGCTAACTTAATATTTAGTATTTTCATTTTGGCAGACCACCTCTTGGAGATAAATATTTTTTTATGGACAGTCAGATTTTGAACAGTGCTTTAATTTCTTGTGTTTAAAAATAATTATAAGAAAATAGCCTTACCCGCAAAGTTCCACTGTCATTCATTTTTTTAATATCTTGGCCACCCCATAATACACCACTGGGCACATAAAGTGTTTTCCCATACTGTTTTGCAGCAGTGCGAAGATCTTGCTCAAGCTGGGGGTCAGAGAGGGCAGAAGGGCTGCCCACCTGAGGAAGGGGAAAACATGATCAGGGACAGTTATACTAAGACAACACGGCTGATAATCATTATGAAATAAATGTAAATACTATGGCAGTCAGGATTTCAGGTTATAATATAAAGGTAAACAATCAAGTTACCAGGAAGTGAGCATGTGACAGAAATCTGACCCCAAACTCTTTAACTATCAGTGGATGGCACACTTCCACTATTACACTGGTCTCTCTGAAACACCAAACACACAAATAAAACACATGTAAGTGCCACAGTAATGCTCTCTGCTTTGCTGTCTCTCTTCCATTTAAACAAATATGCAACATACATGTGCATACAAATTATATACAAATTTTACCGATGTGTGAAATCTGAGAGGTCATGTAGAATCAGCTCTTTGGGCAATGAATCTCTAAGTTTGTCTGCATTTCGGTTCCAAACAAACGCTAACTGCAGCCCCGCCTCAGGCCCTTCCTTCTGGATCTTCTCAACAAGAAACTGGCCTAAATAAGGAGAATAGAATAAATACAAGATTCATGGCCTGACAGAACATGAACTGATACGGAACATAAAAGTTATTACAGCTCTTCCACACTTTTTGGCCAATAAATTTCCATGATTTTTCAAATCAATCAAATTGAGACAGATTCACTAATGAATCATTCAGACAGATCTGTGAATCAGACTCAACAAACTCACACACTCACATATGGGGCATAAAATGGCTTAAAATAAACACATGAGCAATCTCTTATCAGCTGAAATATTAATGTGCAGATCATATGTAAAACTGTATAATCACTATATACTATAGACATTTTTATGAATTCTATGAGGCTTAGAAAACACCTTTTTTAAATTCCCTGATACTTCCAGGTTTTACATGACCTATGCAACTATGCACGGTTCTTCTACGCTCATTCCTTGAGAATTTTTTTTTTTTATTATTTACTATTTTAAAACAGTAACGATTATTAATGAAAGTTCTTCTTTTGTCAATGCTATTTGGCAATATTAGATTTTAAGTGCAAATTTAATCAAAGCAGAGAAAGTTGTGGCTCTTGAAACAAGTTTTCGTTGGAGAACTCACCTAAATGTCCATATCCCACAATTCCAACCTTTAAGGCTCTATCAGTCATATAAAGGGATTCAGCAGATGAACCATGAAATCATTTTTTTAATTTGTCAGTCTGCTAAAGTAGTTCAAGATAGCTTATTATTATTCACATCTATACAACAACAACTGTATTTTTGTAAACTCTATAACATCAAACCAGCATGTACTAGATTTGCTTTTATATTCCCCACACATGCTCTTGGTTCAATCATTGGCTCCTCCCCCTTTTAATTTTCTCCACCTCTCTGTCAGTGTCCAACTATATATTCTCCTTTATCTCGAACACACTGATCTCACTGACACTATCTGTCCTCACAACCTTCACTTACCTCCTAATTCCTCACCTTTTCTCTGCTTCTCACTCTCTTTTTCTTTTCGATGTCCGTCGATCTCTTCACTGTTTGAGCTTGAGAGACTGGGATAGAGCAGGTTAAAGTGCATGTCGGCCAGGATTGTTAATGATTAGAGACTGTGTGAGTCCACTGGCATTTGGATATTCTGTAGTATTGTTCATGGTGAAAACAGTGATCTTGAAATAGCTATTTTATTATCTTTGAGATACAATTATAGGTTTTATTATTAGTTTGAATTAGTTTTTCAATTTTTATATTTTCCGTTATCATTTAGATTTTTTTTAGAGGTTTAGTAATTTTGTTGTGTTTTCAAGTTTTTTTTTT